AGCGCGGCGGATCATCTGCTTGGACGGGCACCTGGGGCAACGGACGTACGAGTTCCTGACGATGCACGAGATATCCTGCAGCCCCGTGGTGGTCAACAAGCATGCCCCCGAGAGGCCCCTCGAGTTTGAATTCCTTCACGGCAAGAACGAAGGGCTTGACAAGTGGGAGGGGGCAATTTTTGAGGCACTCGGGGCTGGGCGCAACGTCTTTGTCGTGAGCATGTCCTCAGAAAAAGCGCGAGAGTTGGGGGCGGCGGTCTTGAAGAAGAGTCTTGTCGCGGATGACCAGATCCTGATCATCACCCGGCACTCGGACGGTGAAGTCAAACGAGGGCTGCAGGACGTGAATACGCAGTGGCGGAAGCAGCTTGTGATCATCAGCCCCACTGTTGAAGCAGGCGTGGATTTCAATCAGGACTGGTTTCATCAGATGTTCATGTACATCTGCCAGAAGAGTACGCACCCGCGGGGCCTCGATCAGATGAAGGGGCGTGTACGAAAGTTGGAAGATCAACGAGTCATGTGTTATGTTCAGGAGGGCATCTGGCTGCCCATCGTACCAAGGCCCTTGGAGGGCGGGTCCATGACGAAGAGGAGCAAGTCGGGTAGGAAGGCAAGGTTGGGGCTCGAAGAGACCTATCAGTGGTTTCTCAACCAAAATCGGAGGGGCGGGCTGAACTGTGTGCATCCGACAACCCGTCTTCTCACTCACAATGAAAAGGAGATCTTCAACGGACAAACGCATTTCTACGAGGAGTTCACGGACTTGCTGCAGGAGGACGGCCACATTGTCAAGGACGTCTGCGATGAGGAGTTGGTTGACGAAGAGGCGGTCGAAGAGAATCCGGGCTCTTCGGAAGAAAGGGAGCGTGGGGCCAAGTATCTTCTGGAAGAGATGATCTGCGCCCCTAACATCGCGCCAGCGGAGTTCGCTGACATCGAAGCGCGGACTCGAATGTACCAGAACCGGGAAGGGGAGTCGGTGCAGATGGAGAAGTTTCTGCTGGCACGGTTCTACGACGTGCCATTCCTCAGCGAGGAATTCTTGCGGACCTTTGGGCCGAAGCCAATCCAAGCACTCGACTTCCTGGAGCAAGTAATCGATGAAGACTTCAAGTACGACAGAAATGAGATTGGGCGGCATATGTATCCTCCTCAGATGGCAGCCATGGCGAGAGAGCTCTTGGCGGTCATGGGTTTCGAGCACGCGCTTGATTCTGCTCACGAAACCGATACTCTTAGCACGCTCAGGTCGCGTCTGGCCGGAACCGCCTTCTTCCGGGACTACTCAGAGAACGTCAAATTGTTCCATGCTCGAGCAGCTAGCATCTCTGACGTGCTGGCATCCCAGAAGACAGCCACAATTGCTCTAAACCACGTCTTTTCGACGTTAGGATTGCGCTTGGAGGCAAAGAAGTTTGGCAGAAAGGAGGTGGGGGATGTGAAGGGTTCAAAGAACGGAAAGCGGAAACGGCTCTACCGATATGGAGGTTGGTGTCTCTCGCGAGACCCTCGGACTACGACTCAGCCTTGTGCAAGGGCCCCTGGGGGTAGACCTGATGGCTCAGTTATTGAAGCTCCGTTTGGAGGCTTCAGAGGCTCTCAAGAACAGGATCCCGGTGGTCCTGCGGGAGTATGTGGAGCGGCTCTCGTTTGAGTGGCCGGAACTTGTCCAGCATAAGAGGTGCGGTATCACCGTAGGTCCAAGAGAGGAGGATGAAGAGTAGTAATCAAGGAGAAGCTTAGCGTGTACAGCAAGTCGAGCAATTTGGATAGGCTACCTTTTAGTAGCCGCCTTGTGGATGGTATCCGGCAAAATCTGTAAAGTATTTGAGACGGTGTAGCTAGCTTACAGCTTGCTTGTTGTCTTGCTCTAGATTGTGGTCCCCTCAAGCTATAAACAACCCCAGCCTTGTTGTAATCCATGATAGCGAGTGCGCCGTTTATTGCATCTGCTGCTTGCAATCTGCTCCTGAAAGTAAAGCTCTGGCAAGGCTTGCTTACTGTTAGATACACCTTGCAATTGGTTGGATATTTGATACTAGGAGTCAATAACTACATGTAGACCATTTTGTGCAATCTGGAGTGCATGCGTATGGCTTGGGCCCTACAGATCTGGCAGCGAAAGTTTCAAGTCGCTCAATGCGTGCCCTACCTTACGAAGTTTGATATGAACGCAAGCAATTCTTTCCAATCGCATTGGCATGAAGCATGCAAATGTTTCCCACAATGAGGGTTGTTACAAGCGTTGTAATGATAGCTTATGTGTGTAAAATGAGTTGATATATCTTGACGAACATGCGTCTTGGATGGACCGTACGTCAGAATCGATGGTGACATATGGGTGATGCTAGTAAGCGTGCGATATGGCCGGAGTGTGTAGAACAGGAGTTAGATCAGGACGCCTCGGCAAACGGGGATACCCGAATCCTTATCACGCCACGACAATATGACATCTCTTGTTCATGCATTTGCAGATCACCTCGGATCTTTGCGAGTGATCGGATTATGACTCGGAATCGGAATTGGAGTCGACCGATTCTGCTCTCCTTCTCGGAGTTGCCTTCTTTCCAACGGTTTTTCTCGTGGGCTTGCGAGTGGTTTTCGCCCTTGAATTTCTCTTCGGAGAATTTATACTTTCTATATCTTCAACATCCATCTTTGTTGCCGTGCTCTGAAAAGTTCCTTCAGATGGCAGACCTGTTGGACGATTACTTTTCTTCACCGGACCGATTTCAACCGAGTATCCGTACTTCTTGTTTGTGGAACCTCGTGTGGTTTCTTGGATCAGAACTACCATCTTTTGTGGAAGGGAGACCTTTTTCCCCTGGCACTTTTGAGTACGAAAAAGCTGGGATCCTGCTCGAGCCCCCGCTTGACAGACGCGACCCTTCTGTGCGTCAAACTCGAGTCGCGTATCCTTCAACAGAGCGAGGGTATCATTCCCCTTTGCATCGTAGGCAGCATTTACACGGAAGCTTCGTTTTGTGGACTCCATATACTTGTCCTGATGCACTTGTGATGATGAGATCGCCGAAAATAATTCCGAAGTTCGGCCCACTAATGCATTACATCTTGTGCAGGCCCGCAAATCATCAGCTACAAGCCATACTATATAGTGCATATGTTGTAAAACGCATGCGGAGAGACAGTGAAAAAGTGTCAACTGCCTTTTAAATAACTAGTTATTCTCTTGAGAAATCTCGAGATTTCTAAAGATTTTTCAGGCCCCCGCCCGCAGTTTCTAGAAAATAACCGTTTGAGAAGGATTTCGATGTCATTTTATTGTGACGGATCATTTTTAAATAAGTTGATGCGGAAGGGGAAATGTCTTCAATCAATTATCTTGCATGGGACTAGACGAAGATAACTGTGGACACTCTCAGAAAGATCTTGGATGATGGGATTAGAAGCGAAAGCTCCACGGAGCAGTACCTTAAGGGGATTCAGCTCCTTTGGCAGATGTGTTTCGAGGAAAAAATGCCAGAGGATCCCTCGTGGGTGAAGAGCAAAGCTCAAAAGATTGTTGAACGTGTTCTAGAGCACTATGATAACCCTGGGTCTAGGCGTACCCGCCTAGCCCCTTTTCTGGCAATCTGTCGAAAGCTAGGTTATGGAGACGCTTACCAGAT